ACCAGAATAACAGAAAAGAAGTTAAACCAAAATAGGTTTACTACCATTTATGAGTTGAGGGTTTATGAGATTTCACTCATTCTTCATTAGTTCTCTGATTGAATGTGATCTTTCAGGTTGATATTGTAAAGGACATATTTGAGAAGTAGTCCCAATGATTGATTTTTAATAAAAAGAAATACCTTTCTATGTGTCTGCTGGAGGTCTAGAGTCACAAAACAGATTTTTAAAGTAAAACAAAAAAAAAAAAAGACATTAAATAGTGTGAAAATTGATCACTGGGTTAGTAATTCTGATGCAAAAATCACATTTTGGTGTCTTCACCTATCAAAAGCAGTAATAAGACTTATTAAGCTAGCAAGTTTTTAAAAATATATTGAGAAGATAACAAATATTGCACCTTCAAAAGTATTTTTTATTTACAATAAATTTAAAATTACTACTAAAAAGATAAACATCTACCACAGCAATCAATTCAGATCCATAAGCACTGTTATAACACTATCCACTTTATTAAAAAGGCTTTAACCATCTTTCCGATGTTTTATAGGTGCTCACATTTCTTTTTCACTCAGAGCATTGCTCTTAAGTCTTCAGTGTAATTTCTCCCTACTCTGTGTTCTCCAGGATCACTCTTATCCTCCCCTCTCACTTCCATTTCTTACCCTTTCAAACCCTACACTAGACTTCTCAGAACTTTCTTCCAAACCTATCTGCCCAAACCTAAAATGAAGAGAAACCTGTCAAAAGCAGCCACTGACGCATGATTCTCTTCAACTTTTCTTGTGTCTTCTCTATTTAAACTAGAAATTTTTAATAAAAAATATAAACTATTTAAAGAGACAAAGTCTATATTGTATATGATATTAATGCTCAAAAATTAAGAAAATATATCACTTAAAAAGAACTGACTCAGTACAGAGTCACATTTTATAATTTGCTAAGTAATTATCAATATAGCTATTCACTATTTCTTTTTTTACATGGAATTTCACAAGATAATTTACTGAACAAATGCATAATTGTAGTGACCACTCCAATGCTTCTCAAGGAAATTAAATACTGAAATGGAGGAAAATAGTGTATTTTTCTTATTTCCCAGTAAATGGACACTGAGATGGTGATGCTTATGTGAAAGAATAAAAAAACCATATAAGAAGTTATAGCAATAAAAGAAAACTATCAGATCTTCTGGCCTATCTTTTGAGTAATTTTCTGCTTTAGTAGACATAGTGTTCTTTGGAGAATTTTCTCTCATTTATTCAATTGTCATTTATTGGTTCATCTATTTTTATAAAAATTTTATTCCTTTAACCTTACTCCTTCATTCCCTCAATCAATCAATCAATCAATTGCTGAACCTTTTAAAACCCATCAGTCCCTAGAGGTACACAGATAAAAAGCAGAGTTACTCCTCCTCAAGAGCAGGAGCTTGACAGTCTGGAGAGGGAGGCTACAGGTGCAATGGCACAACTGTAATACAGTGTGGTTCCCAAGGGAGAATGGTACATGGAAGAAGAAAGAGGGCTGGGGAAAACTTTATGCAGAAGATGATGGCCAAGCTGTGTTTTAAAGGAGGAGATTAAATTTGCCTGGTAAAGAACCGGGGAAGAGGTATTCAGAAAGAGGAAACAGCATGTAGAAAAAGTTGAAAATTCATGGAAGTTCTAGTGGAACTTTAATTGATAGAGTTAGGAAAAGAAAAAGAGAGTGTCTCGTGATCAATAACCCCTGAGAGATAAGCCTCGGTCAGATTATGAGGTGCCGTTTGAATCATAATTCCTTGTACATAGTAAATGTTCAATAAATGTTGGCTTCACTATCACCAACAATGCCAAGTTTAATTTAAACTAAAAAACATCTAAGGGAAAATATCTATCTTTTCAACCCCAAATTTTTGTTAAGTACAGTAATTCCCCATTGATAAATAGATGAGTCATTACTAGAAAGGATAAGACTATGGCACACCAAAAAAAATTGTCATAAACGAAGATACTTTAGTAAGCCACAAAATATACATTTCCTAATATGATTCAAGTATAGCCGAAATATTTCAAACTAGAACCCTAATCATTTGTATATAATAATAATAGCATAATGCAAAGGAAATATTTAACATATAGGCTTATTTTTCTGAAGGATACTACTTCTCATTTTTGGTTTTTAATACTTGTCTGTATCTATGTTTTAGAACACAATGCTGGAAATCAAGAAAATCCCAAACTTTTAAACCTGGAGTTCTTATAAATGGAATGACTACACCCAGAAATAAATCTTGAAGGGTTCCTTAGGATTCCTATTAATTGGGGCTGATCGGCAAGGCGTTGAGCCAGTATTCTTATGCAATGTTCCCTTCAAGTCATCTTTGGGCAGTAGCCTTAAAAATTTAGCTGTACCTAAGTAAATATGGTAAGCTCTCAAATACATATTTAGTAAGTTAATTTGCTTAAATTTTTTTTTCCAAACAGTTACAGAGTCTATTACCAATTTGGGTATAAAATTGACACTTAATGAACTTGTGTTTTAATTAAAAGCTCTCTGTTGTAAAACTTTGTACTTCACTTTTTGTTGCTTCCTATATTTTTGACAAACTCATAAATTAAATGCCAATTTGGATTTTTAAAAGATCTAAAGAGTCCACTTTATAAAAAAAAAATTTAAGATATCATTATGGCAGCACCAAATCTCTTTGGGTTTTTTTGCTACCATCAATTCCACATAATTATTTTACAAACAAATTGAGTTCCTACTTATGGACAGAAAATATTTATTAGCACATCTGTATTTCAAAGCTCTTGTTCTGAGAACTCTTCTACATAACTGAACACATTAAAGTAACATTGTTATATAGTCTGCATATTTTTATATTTATTTCTTTAGTAAGAATTATTTTCCATATTTACCTAGATATTTTAGCTTTCTATTTCATCAGAGCATGACAACAGATTTTACCAATATGAGGAATCGGCACTGTCTTCTTTGGAAAGTGCACCTTATAACATGTTTTGCTTTATAGCTCTTTTCAAAACTGGGAACTATATAGAGTGAAGCAAAAAGTGTAATCTATTTTCCTCTCCCAACTCTAAGACCTTCTATCTGGGCCAGACTTTGATATTTGCCCCTTGGCTGAGAATCCGCATATCCAACTTCACACTTAGCTGCAGTGAAGTAGCCCTGCAGGCAGGCCGACTTCAACGAACCACTAGTGGTATCATCATTAAAATCCTGCTGAAGGTCACCATGGTAACCGCCTGCTGAGGCTTCACTGCTGCACTCGGCATCTCCTAATCAGCTACCATGTGAAATGCAAATCCAGACAGTCTGAAAATTAGTCAAGAAGAATAGGGGATGAGGATGCAGATATGTGAAATATTCATGCGCTTCGTGGAAAAAAGAAGACAGCATGAATGACACAACAAAGAAAGGCCCCTGACATTCTTGCTATCATTTTGCATTATTGTTCACACCCTACTGTATTTCCAGGCCTATAGTTCTGAAGTTGGTTTTGTGAAATGCCATACTTATATTCTATATCCAAAATAGTAATTAAAAATGGCTAACATAATAGCATTGACATCAAATAAAGATAATACTTCTAAATTTTCATCTGAAGCTTGGAAGATTTTATTTTAATTACCTGAATACAAATACTATAAAGCAAAATACCAGGCATCATTGATTACCAGTATCAAAACTACTAGAAGAAAGAGTTCTTATTATATTCTAGGCACATAAATGCTTTATGTATAAGGTAAAAATTCTTTAGAGGTATTTATTATTCAAGTTACATGAACTCAAATTTCCTTATATAATACTAAGACCAAATACTACTCATTTCATTCAATAGAAACACTGACAAGATTACCTAATAAGTGAACATTATAATTGTTTTATATTTTTCCTTTGCTCCTTTCCATTTTCCTGGGGCAAAAAATCTGTTGCTCATGAGAAGGTGAGCTGTCCTAACTCAAGACAGTGTTTTCTCTAGGTAGGTCCCCAGTGAGCATTCCAAAAAGAGCTTATGTGAACATATTTTAGTTAACCTGAGACACTGCTATTCTGTATACCTTGTCCTTAAATATTGGCAAAATCATGACACATTAGGCAAAAATGGGAGATGTTTTGTTCAATGAAGAACGGGATGTTGTGTAGAGCCAAAACAACTCATTTCCATGGGTTCCCAAAGCAAGCAAGGATTCAGACTCAGGCCTTAATAAGGTGAAATCTTCTAAAATTTTCAATCTTATCCAATATAATTTTTAACACATCTTCAGTGATAACCTCAAAACATTTCCCCAAAGGAATGTGACTGTAGCAGTGAGGTGATGATAGGACAGATATTGTCAAAGGAAGGAGGATAAAACTTAAAGAATAAGGTTCAGAGAAATGTAGCTAAGAGATGTGTGTTTCCATTTTGGGAAACATGGATGGAAGGGAACTTCTGCCAAAACAGAAAGTTATAATTGTTTGCTGGTCTGTGATCATGAGAACAAGGAATTAGCCCTGTTAGAGGGGCAACGAGACATATCAGAGAAATGTAGCTAAGAGATGCGTGTTTCCATTTTGGGAAACATGGATGGAAGGGAACTTCTGCCAAAACAGAAAGTTATAACTGTTTGCTGGTCTGTGATCATGAGAACAAGGAATTAGCCCTGTTAGAGGGGCAACGAGACATGTTGATTAACTGGAGCCTGGATCTGAGCATTACTTCTGCCCTTTGCAGTGCTCAGTACACTGTAAGGACAGCCACCATCCTTATCACGCCTAGGAACTGGCCAGTTTTACACCACGTGCTGTGTTGTGTTCCACTCCACTTTATGAATTACAGACTCAACTTTTTAAACTACAAGTCTACAAGAGCATGAAAACAGAATGAAAAGTGCTATTTCTGCCACCTATACTATTCCTTTGTATTTCTGGATAAAATGAAATTTCTTAATAAAATAAAAACGTTAAGCAAAATGAACGACAGACAAGCACATGGACTGAAAATGACTTACTTCCTCTGAATAGTGATCTGAAGGAAGAGGTGGGTAGTCACACTGTTCTATCTTCTTACACAGCGAGTATAAATTCATTTTGTCACCATAGAAAGGACTCTGTAATGCAGCCATCTGTAAAATGCTCCCAATGAAACTGATATAGTTACAGGGTAACTTTAAAGGTGATTTCATCAAGTATATTACACTGGGGTAGAAAATAATTACAAATACTTTCAATAAAGTCATCTGGGCATTTTGACTTTTATGAATATCCCTTTCTGAGAATTATTTAATACGTGCTAAAAATCTTACTTCAACTTTTGATTATTTTTTATAAAACATTTAAAATTTCCTAAAATAGAGAAACAGCATATTCTTTATATGTACATATAAGCATAAGCAATATTAAACAATATTAAGAAAAAGAATATATAATAACTTAAAAACTGTAAATATGCCATAAAAACAACTAGCATATCTCATGACAAAACTGACATCACAAGGTATAAGCTCAATCGTATAATGGTCAAAATATAACAAACATAAAACTAAAGCTAAATCTAAATTATAATTAAATTATAATCTAGCAATAGTTTAGGGAATAGAATGGACAGCATTTGATCTTGCATAATAGTTCCTGTGAGGGAAGGTTATTCTGAAAAGTCAAAAAAATCTTCTCAATTTTAATATTAGAACTGATCCCCAAATAGCTTACAATGAATTAGAACGTCTTTCTTTTTCATAATGTCTCAAAAACACTAAATATATTCAAAAGCTCTACAAGTCATAGCTGCAGTTCAAGGTATCTACATGAGACTTTAATTCAGAAAAACATGACTCAAAGGACGAACAACTTTAAAAAAGACATTACTGAATTTAAATTTATTTTAAGACAAGCTTCTAACTTGACATTTAAAGTGCAAGCAAGCACTGTGGTAAGCACGGTTACAAAGTAAAAATTCAATTTAAAATGTTCGCATCCTGTTCAAAACCCTCTAAATCTTTGAACCGCAGCAGCAAGAATACAACATGGAGTGCCAGGCTGCCCCAAAGTCAGTCACCCTTTTCTACATGTGCTAATAAGTTTGATTTTGGAAGGACAATGTGTACATTCCCCAGACAGGCAGAGTGTGTGTGAAACACGCTAGTCCATGCTGGGCTACTCAGTGAGCGTCAGTGGGGACAGGACAAGCTGAAAATGGCTCTCATCTGTCTTCTGTGCTCCAGACAGAGCTTTAACTCTTTCAGAGCCTTAACAATGAGGGGACGGGATTAGAAATCAAACCCACAAAGTAGCTCAACAAATTTTTATCTAGCCTACATTTTACATGAAACCTACATACACCTACATAGAACAACCTTAGGAACAGTTGTTCTACATGAATAGAAAGAAGTAAAACAATTCAAATGTCCCTAATCATATAAAACACTCCATCCAGGAAGAAATTTCTAAAAGAGGAACTACAATAATAATTATGTTTTCGTTTGTTGAAAATGCAAGGACACTTTCTGATAAAATAGAATATTAAAAATACTACCTTAAAAAATATACCGTATATATAAACTATAGTCTCCCCATGTTTGCGAAACCTTAAGTAAACGTACATATATTCATTATCATATGCTAGGAGTTCATTATAGTACTTTTGTCTCGATACTGCAGTGTTAAAAAAAAAATCTGAATGTCCCCTAAGGAGTTAAACAGGAATAGTATATTTTCATGCATCTCCTGCTTTGACAGATGAAAAATGTCAACTGTCCTGTTTTTATTTTCAAGCTTTTGCACTATTCATCTGGTTCATTAGTGCATCTCGATGCTGCCCCTGACAGCTGCTCGCCCTCTCCTCCCAGCAGCTGAATTTTTCAGGCTAATTTGATCCTCCACACTGAGACGATCGCTAGAATGATTGACTTGCTCCCTGACCTCCAGGGTCTGACTTTCCTGATTAGTATTCTGGGGGTGTCGGAGGGACGAAAGCCCACTGTCTGTCTTCGGGGCTGGTGGCAGCTCTCTTTTTTTTTGAACTGTAAGCCACCAACCTACAACCCTGTAAGGATGCAATTGCTGCGCTGAACAATAAAGGAAATGTGTAAAACCTACTTTTCCATGTAAAGGTCCGTGTAGCAAAAGCACAGCATCTTGATTTTAATTAGTAAAGTCTACTTTGTTGCATATCAATTAAAACTGTACTGCTAGTTTTTTTTTTTTTTTTAATTTGAGGTTTCAGGAATATTTGAAAGTCTAATTTTCTGAGTTTAAAATACATTTTCAAAAAAGGCTTCCTACTCCATTGTTAACAGTAACTTCTTAGTGAGATGCAATATAAAATGTCTGTGAAGTTATGGATAATTTTTATTGCTAGGTATTTGTATTAACATTTTATTGAAACATAACTGAAAGGAGATAGAACATAAAGGTCAATTAAATCTTCAGAAAAATACTAGTTCTTCCAAAACACTTGCATGAAGGAATCAAAAAAATGCATTGAGATAAAAACTAATATCAGCATGATAAACACTTTAACTGGAAATCACCCACAACACGTATAACTCACGGATGTAGGAGTGCCCAAAGAAATAATTTTTATTTTGGTGATCATTTTAAGTACACATAGAAATGGGACACTGCCTCTCAAAGGCAAATTCAGAATAAATTATTTCAATTTTGAAATGAGAGTCTGCTGGCTCTAAAAGAATTATGCAAACTTCCACAAAAAAAACACTTATTACTTCAACTGAACTTTCTCATTGCTAAATTTATCTCATTATTAGAAACCAATTTGCTGTTTACTTTTAGGTGTTTAAAAGGAAAATGTTGCTTTGACAATATTAGACTATGGCCTGAAGGGATCTAAGGTTACCTAAGCAGATATAAAATATTTTAAATGTAGAAAAGTGACTAACTTCTAAACATTATAGTAATAATATAATGTAACCAGTTATTTTCAACATTGTACCAAATTACTAACAGAATATAATATAGTGAGCATAAATCTCTTGTAATGTCACATGCAAACATAAAAACATATTTTGTCACATCCCTAATTTATAATTTTTCATAATAAAAATATCCTAGGGATGAGTTTATTTAAAAACATTTAAAAATCCTTTCATTCTAGGTAGTCATTAGTCACTTTAGTAGAAAGAGCAAAAATAAACAATTTCAGGTTCCTTAAATTAAGGAAATTTTAATCTGCAGTTGGTAAAATAATAAAAGGTCATGACATACATTAAAAACAAAAACACCTTTTAATGCTCCACTTCCAAATAATAGTGATGCAATTAAAATAGATGACTTCATCATATATTTCATTTAAGTAAGGAGGACAAGAGACACAAAATATAGAGTAAGAAATACATTGGTCTCTTTCTATCCACTTTAGATTTCCTATATATATATATTGTGACATGAAAATGATTTTATGTATTATGTTTCTTTACTATATTAAAATAAGGAGGACAAGAGACACAAAATATAGAGTAAGAAATACATTGGTCTCTTTCTATCCACTTTAGATTTCCTATATATATATATATTGTGACATGAAAATGATTTTATGTATTATGTTTCTTTACTATATTAAAACTCACTTAGATGTAGACTAGTTTTTCTTTAATGGCTTTGACTCAAAGCCTATAAAATTACCATTCAATTAAAAAATAAAATTATAGAAGCCACTAGCTTGAGATACTCTGATACCATTGCTCTATAATATAGATGTAAAAAGTTTTAGTAATATGCCTACTCCATCATCCAAATTATTGCTCTGCAACATTTCTAGAAGATTTACCTACATGATTCCATCTTCCTTTGATAAATCATCACCAGGAGAGAAAATATTTCACTGAGCTTTACCAATACAAATTGTTACTCATGGAAACTAAATTAAGTGATAATCTAGAATTATCTGTTTGCATACTATCCTTAAAACTGAATTATTTTACACCTATGTAAAAGTGAAACAAAATATTAATAAAGATATTTACTATACTTTTGTATTTTAAATCCATTCCATTATGCCTCTCCTGCCAATGCAGATAAGCAAGTTTTTTCATAGATGTTCAAATGCATATTTGTATAAATGCAAGATATGCAGAAAAACATTATATTAACATAAAAGTTAACACTGGAAAAATAAAATTCTCATCAAAAGGACACAATTTAAAAGTGTATTAAATGAAGCAAATATGTAGAAATGCATAGCTATTAAATTCCAGTATAAAAAGTTATTAACTCAATGAATTAATTCTACATAATTAAAAGCTGATTATTAGACACCATCCAGAAAAAAGTAAGTATATACTGTAAGGACAGGGGAAATACATTACAGTAAGTAAAAATGTATCAGTATATGGAATTTATCAACATTACCTACCTCATATAGTAGACAGCCAAGAGACCAGATGTCAGATTTGAAGTTATATCCATTTTCATGTATTCTCTCGGGAGACATGTAATAAGGTGTACCCACTGCAAAAAACAAACCAAATAAAACAAGAGAAGTATAAAAATAAAGATGCAGCTATGGTAAGAAAACATATACAAAAATTGGGGGTTAAAAATGTCACCAAAATAATTCATTAGAATCAGAAAATTGTTTTTGTGAATACTGAAAACTTTTAAATTTCTTCTTTACTCGCCTACCCTTAAACAGCACAGTAACATCTATACTATATTTAAAAAGGGTGTGATGGGTTAAACTTTATTTCCTTTTGCTCAATCCGGGGAGAATCTAGAGAGCATAACTAAAAGGGGGGTGGGGGGACGGGGAGTAATTCTGACAAGAAAACCTACTTAAGTGACTTACATTGGCTTTATTTCCTTATTTTTTAAAAATATGGCTTGCATATCACAAACAATTAAACATGATAATCACTTATTTTAAAACAGAGTATTATATAACTACTTAGTGGAGTATGTATAAATATATCATACTTATTAACTTTTATAGAAACATCCCTTAAAACATAGCTGTGGTTATTAAAGAATAACATAACCATTAACACTTGGTGCCTTAGTCACTCTCACTTTAGGAATAATAGACAGACTTTTGTATATCAAAGGGTTATGTAATAACAACATATGTGAAACGGTCCTGACATCTCTGGAAAAACACCTGAGTTATCGCTAGTACTGAGGCCTTTTTAGGGACAAGATACTCTAGGTAACTTTTGTTTTTGTTTGTTTTGATGCGCTAAAACATTTTTCTCTATTCTTATGACCATTTTAGAAAATGCAAATACAGACTTTTGTATATCAAAGGGTTATGTAATAACAACATATGTGAAACGGTCCTGACACCTCTGGAAAAACACCTGAGTTATCGCTAGTACTGAGGCCTTTTTAGGGACAAGATACTCTAGGTAACTTTTGTTTCTGTTTGTTTTGATGCGCTAAAACATTTTTCTCTATTCTTATGACCATTTTAGAAAATGCAAATATTTATTAAATATTTTAAAATAAACAAAAGCATATACATTATATTTTGAAGGGTAAAAACATTTATATCACTTTCAAAGTGATTATCTTTGATATCAAACTTAGATGGCTATTATTTCACTATCATTAGCTTAAGGCTTTTTGTCAAATAGAAAATCAAAGTTTGAGAACATGTAGGAATCTTATTTACCTGAGGCAAGAGCTACTAAAAATACACTGCTACTCATGGAGAAAAGGGCTTTCTCTTTTCTTTTCTTTTCTTTTTATTAATTTCAAGAACTCCCCAAGTATTTACTGTAAATCTTAATGAGATTACCCCCACAATACTGAACAGGGGTCTTTGGTCAGAGGCAACAAAAAGAGCGACACCAATCATCAAAGCACTATCTTCAAAGGCAGGAGTCACTTTCCTAAAAGGATAATGTAATAACCTAATAGTTGTATGTGGAAACTATACTGTACTAAAAGTGAAAACATCATGAACCATGTATCCAAGAAATCCTTCCTATAAGAGACCATTTTTACTAATAATGGATAATCGTAGTCAGAATGAAAGAAAGGGAGGCATTTATGGAAGTGAAGAAGAAAAGTAAAGAAAGAATATGCAAACAAGTGGATAAAAATTTAAATACAATATGAACTATTCAGGTATGAAATTAATAAGACAAGCTTTAAGAAATAAATGATTTAATTGCAGCATTTCCTTTGAAGACAAACAAGTAACTTTGCCAATTTCTGTAGTATCAGAAAAGCACAGAAACTTTTAAAAATAGCTAAGTGTAAAGAAGCTGTGTCACTGTGTAACAGAAACACAAGCTATCTAGCTTTGGGACTTCTAACCACTTTCACTTGTAGTTTGCATAAGCGACACCAATTATTCGAAATATTTACACACTCTCTCCATTTAAGGATGGATGGTAGGCACAGTTGGAATACTAAAAGGGCTCTGCACAGGCTCCTGGTTTCAGGACATAAAGCAAGTGACTGGCAGTGAGGAATGTGCAGAGAGAGGCTTCATGGAATCCACAGGGGGCAACTGAAAACACTGAGGCTTGAAGGTTCAGAGTTTACCAAAAGCAAAGGTAATTTTACCCAGTAGCTCTGGGAAACCTGCTGATACATTAGGGGTTTGATATGAGTGCGAAAGATTGATGATAGGGAAAAAGAAGAACAAATGCTGGCATTTTACAGAGATTAGCCCCAGCATAACACCTTAGCTGCAACACAAACTGAACTCACCAACGACCCAAGTGAAGGGAGCAGGGGGAAAGAATGGTTAGGAATTCTGCTAAACTAAGCTTAAAATGTAAAACAAAAAATAAAAACTAATGTACATAAAAGTCTTTTCTAGTTAGCTGTGGGAAGTCATTACAAAAAGTTACATACTCAGTTAACCATGCTACTTCAAACTTAAGACACCGATTCTTCTTCATATCATATTATATACCAAACTTCTTTATACTAAATATGCATGTTTTACTTCTACTTAAATTCCATATATCTTGAATGTATATTAAAATTTAAAGCTAAGTATGCTACTCACCTCTTTGATCGACACATTTCCAAAGAGTCATTATATAATAAGAAGAGTAAGTTTGTATTCTGCACTATAATTATTAATTGGATAAATTCATAATTAACTGCTGAACACAGACCTAACAAGGTCCTACTGTCTCCCTCTGACATGCTCCCCGACTTGCCCCTCCGCTCTGGGCACGGGCTCTTCCTCTGACTGACACTGAGCAAAGAGATTCAGCCCCATCACGTAGATGACTTGTCAGTACCTCTCTCTATCTAACAGAGTGGCCTAAAAAAAGTTTAAGCACTCAGGAAAATCTGCAATACATTTAAATGCAGTGATATGTTTTCAACATTTCAAAGTTAATAAAGATATAATTATTTCCTAAAAACCTTTTTTTAAAATCCATGACAGCTGTGTCTGTGATTACTGTTGCCTCAAGAATGTTGTGACTTTTAACAGTTGTACAAGAAAAGGGAGACTTGGGGAGTGATATGATTAGACATTAAAACGATCACGCAAATTACTATGTATTGAGGAGCTGAAGACTACAAGATGCATAATTACACTTATCTTTCAAGAATTTATGGTTGTAGGTAAAATGAGAACACATTCTCCAATAGCAGGTAACTTACGCCATTTTAACCTCCTGACATGAATAAAAGCAAGGAAGAAATGGATAACCTAATAAAAACCAGAGAAAGGCTGACTCTAGGGGAAAATTGTTAACAAATGAAAATGCTATCTATCTGACCTTTCTTTAATCTATATTAATATTACATTAAAATATACTAAGGCAGTCTTTCAAATGTAAAGTCATTTCAAATGTAAAATCATTTCAACATTAATTGACTTATTCTAGCTATATGAGAAAAGTTTTAAAGTGTATACTCCATAAACAATAAATACATTCTAAAATTTATTCTGAATAAAATGAAGATCGATTTCCAGAAGTTCTGAAATATGTTGAACAGAGACAACAAATTCTGCCAAGAAGCTGTTATTATGGAAGATATGAGTAAATTAATTAATAATTTTCATTTCTTCAGAACAGATTACATACAAAATTTTTTTGATAGTTTAGCTAAAAATTTTGCACTATAATGTCTGCAAAGAGGTGGGTGACAAAAAAATAGAACTGAAGCATCTTAATATATGGTTAGATTTTTATGGCTTTTTTTGTTTGTTTTTTTAAATACTGGAAGTTGCACAAAGCCAGTCAAAGGTCAAGAAATCTCTTTCACATCTTACCTTTGCCACTAACTAGCTAGGAACAGTTAACATCTCTTTTCCTTCACTTTCCTCATCGGTAAGATGAAGTAATGAGAAAGATGAGGTGACCTCTGAGATCCCTTTTGCTCTAAAATTCTACCGTAGTTATAAGCACTCTGCAAAAATCCATGTGGAAAATGAGATTTAAAAAATTTGATATACTCTTTTTTTTAAACTATTACTTAGGGCAGCTCAGTGAGAGTGTTTTTAAGTCAGAGAGCACAAACAAGCAAATTTAGTTTAGAAATGTTGCTTCTTTCTTTTGGAATTAGAGCAAACTGCAGAAAAGAAAGCTCTGGACATTCCTTGTTGGGAAAATTCAAAGAAGACAAGTCATTTTATACCTCGGTTTGATTTAAAAACACACACACACTACTTTAGGGAACAGGAATTAATTTCCATTCTCTCCTTCATACTCATGAGTCAGCCCAGAAATTACGTTGGCAGACCGAATGGAGAAAGGCCAAATGTATCTCACTGTAAGGACTGTTATCGGAGGTCAGTATAGAATGGCCGAGTGGCAGATCAAAGTCTCTTCTGCAAAAGACACTTATAAAACAAAAGTTGACGTCTTTTAAGTGTAACTGATAACATCTAAGAGCTTTAATAATGCTGAGAGCACATTTTATTATTATTGTTCCTCTGCTCCAGGCACTGTATTAAATGTATCACAAGTACTATCTTGCTGAATTTTAACAAAAGTTTATCAGGTCTTAACGCATGGCATACACTGTTCTAGGTGCTGGGAGAAAGAGGTAAAAGGACGAGTCCTTGATCTCATGGCGCCCACAGTCTAGAGAAACAGGTACTATTATGAGGTGGCTTTAGGAGACGTTGTTACTATTTTAGAGAGAAAGCATAGGGAGGTCGCATGGCATACACTGTTCTAGGTGCTGGGAGAAAGAGGTAAAAGGACGAGTCCTTGATCTCATGGCGCCCACAGTCTAGAGAAACAGGGACTATTATGAGGTGGCTTTAGGAGACGTTGTTACTATTTTAGAGAGAAAGCATAGGGAGGTCAGATAACTTGCTGAAGACTACAAAACTAGTAGGTGTGGTCCAGGAATTTAAACCCAGGTAGTTCTGCCCCTTGCATTTAAGCAGATACTTATTTCATTAAAACTGACCACTATGAAATATGAAAACATCCTGAAAAAAATATCATATTTTTCCAGACTAAGAAGCAGAGAAATCTTCTACAAGTCACAGTATGTACAAATGAAAAGCCAGGAATAAGGTT